CTCATGCTTGTCTGTGAAATTAGAGATGATAATCGTGCAGGACGTCAGGGATTTTCTGAGACATACAATATCGAGACAATGAACGTTTTGAACTCCTGACCTTGAGTGATCCGCCTGCCTTGGCCTCCCAGAGTGCTAGGATTACAGGCGTGAGCCACCGCGCCCAGCCAGTGAAGGTTCTTTTAACCAAGTCAACCCCATGCACCAAGGGGGCACTCCAGGAGCCCCAAACAGCACCTCACTTGCTCATCTTGCCAACATGACTGGGAGGGCCAACCTTGACTTAGCTGCACTCCACACCGGCCGCTCATACTCCTGTTATCTTGTACACCGGCACTGTCCCGGAGCACTTGGAAGCTCACATCCAGATCAGTGTTATCCTGATTTCTTGGCACTAGGGTTCCAACTCAGAGTCCCGGACCTGTAGATAAGGCCCGCTGAACAAAGCTAGAATGGAATTCCACGTATACAATCCCAGCCCTGACTATTTAAGGCTCCCTCCAACACAATAGGAGGCTGCAAAATGCTCTAAGATAAAAGCACATGAAAGATGCAAGAAATCGATACACACAGGAGAACCGTGGCGTGGGAAATTCACTCTCAGGCAGCCTCTTCTCGACTTTGGACCCCGGCACCTTTAGCTGGTTGCCCTCGATAGCTTACCCCAAGTCTCTTAGAATGCCTCCTTTGTAGTAGCTGGGTTTATTATGGTTGAAAGTCATAAAAACCCAACTTGAGAAAGCTGAAGCTAAAAGGGGACCTGTTTGGCTCATTCAATAGAGACGTCTGGGTGTGGGAGGAGGCCACGACTGCAATGAAATCACTGTGCAAGTGCCTCTCTCTGACTTCAATGTCACTGGCCCTTTCCTAGGGTTCTCCATGGGGTTCAGCAGGTCCGACAGAAGGGGGAAGGGTATGTCCCATGCCCCAGATATTTCTAGGCTTAGCAATCTCAGATGACAGGGAAAGTGTTTTATGCCCGAGTGTCTGTATATAAGACCCCAGGGGTAGACTCTTGACAGGTGGAGCTTGGGCCACATGCCCACCCTGAGTTTTGTTTCGAGTGGGGTCATAACCCTGGGGTTGGCAGTTTCACCAGTGCCACATGGAATGGGACAGGGGAAGTTCTCCAGTGATGAGGAGCTGTTTAGGTGATCTTGAATAGACAGACACCACAGGGCTCCTTAATGTGGCTTTTCAACCTTCCCGGCAAGCACCACAGAGCTCCCAGTGCCCAGCTCACGTGGCCTTTAGGTCTCCTTATAATACTATCTCCCACTTATTGAATGCCCAGGACCTGCCGGGCACCCCCCCTGGGTTTTCCCTAATCCCCACAATAGTGCTCCAAGACGGCTGTTCACACCCCATTCTGCAGACAACAAAGCTCGGGCTCAGAGAGGCCAAGGCAGCTGCCCAGAGTCACAAAGCCAGAAAGTGGCTGAGCTGAGATGCAAACCCCATAATCCAAATCGCATGTTCTTTCTCCTAGTCCCCTCTCCCCGCAGCCAGCTGGCGTCCTGCTAGCTGCCTGCGCAGGTGTGTTCTTTCAGCTTCCTGACAATGATGGAAGGCTTTTGAGGGAGGCTGCTCTGCCCGTCTCCTCCCCACATCCCTGGGCAGGTTGTCTCCCACCAGAGGAAGCTGGGACATTCGTTACGAGGCTAACAAGCCTGCGCATCTGTCACTCGTCACAGTGCCCGGCTAGGCTCTGCAGACTCACGCAGAAGGCCTGTCTCCTGCCAAGCGGGGACGGCAGGAGATGTTCCAGCACGGCCAGGCACTGCCCGGGCGCCACAGCAGCCCCACTCCAGCACGGCGATCTCATCCTGGGCGTCTCTGGCTACTAGGACCGTGTCCTCAGACTCCACGCTGACAAACCGACAGCAAGGACTTTGTTTCCAAGTCTCAACAGGCTGTCGAGCAGGTGCGTCCTGGAGCCGGACTGCCCGGGTTGGAATCACAACTGCCCCCGCTTACTAGCTCCACGACCTGGGGCAAGTTATTTCACTCTCTCTGTGCCTCAGTTTCCTCATCTGTAATATTGCCACGAAGTTTATTGTCATGAAGGAAGAGCAGAGGAATACTTGTGAAGTGTTTTAAACAGCGCTTCATAAATGCCAGGCATGGCCATTCCAGTGACTCAGTATACCCTTGACCAGAGGGACCAGGAGGAAGGGGAGGGGTGGCAGCTCCCTGTGCTCCAGGGGAGAATGACTGGGTCTACCTCCTCACAGGGCCAGCTGGGACATCTGAGCCATCACCCAGCTCCGGCTCCACGTTTCTCTGTGCCTGCGACGCTTCACCCTGAAGAGCTGCAGGTCTCTTACCTGCGAAGCAAAGGTAACGCTCCTGCCCTGCCCGCGGGCTACCGCAGCGATGGCTACGCGTGGACCCTAAACCATGACCACACTCGCTCCCCCTGGTAGCATTGCTGGGCGAGCACGTGCATGACAAGCGTAAGCAGGACCTTTGGGGGCCATAAGGAGGTGGGAAAATTGAGACCAGGCTCTGGGCACAGGAGTCTGTGGGGTGGGTCATCATTGTCATCACCATCATCTTCATCATCAGAGCATCAGAGCATTGTTACGGAATGCTTGATCGCCTGTGGTAATTGATGGGACCATTTGAAAATCATTTTTGTGGTCCCTGCCTTTGCCTGCGGACAATTATCCTCTACATCACTGGTTCTCAACTAGGGGTAACTTTGTCCCCCCCAAGGGACTTCGACAATGCGGAGAGACACTTTGGGTTTGTCACAACATGAGGGGGTTGTTACAACTCATAAACAGAGGCCACAGGCGCTGATAAACACTCCGAGACGCACAGCGTAGCCCCGTAGCCAAGAATTATCCAGCTCAAAATGCCAGCAGTGCTGAGTTGACGAGCCCCGCTGCTCACTCTTAATATTTAAAGGGTGGCCGAGGTGCGGCCTCACCTGGGCGCTGGTTTCGGCGCAGGCCTATCGAATGAGAACCTGTACACACAACACAGCTGGAAAGACATGGCCTGAAAAAGACACACGCATAGAGAACACACAGCCACCAAGCCCAACTATTAACCATGTGGGCCAAATGCAGGGCATTTGGGGATGGGAAAACAGAAGACAGACTGCCCGTGGGTGACGGAAGTTTGGATGGATTGGTGGAACACTAACACGAGCCAAGCACCACGGTAGGTATGCTTCACACAGATTATCTCATTTATCTCCCAAACAACCACAGGTGGTATGATGCATCTTACTGATGCTTACCTGGTGAAGACTATGGCGACCATGGCCTTCCTATTTAGACATAGGTAGAACTTTCCAGAATCTACCTACTGCCATGTAACCAGATTATATAAACAAACGTTTCCTAGTGTGCTTGCATGTAAAACCTTATTTAGGGTTGTCATCTGATAATAACTTTTCCTTTCTCACTCAAGTGGAGGCATATTTTTATATGTGCAAAGAATGCAATTTTCTCCTTTGTTTTCTCTTAAAAGATCAATAAACATCTTGTTTGCCTTTAACAAAAGTTGTGTGAATTCTCTATAATCAGCATTTAGTTCCTTTTATTTAGGGGCCATGTCCAAGGTTGACAATAACATTTAGTAACAGTGGGTCTTTATGATCCAAAAACTCCATGGCTGCGGCACAGGGTTGTAATAATAACATCTACTATTTATTAGACACCCGGGTGTTTGGGATCGGCTCTACATCAGCACCTCTCTAATCCACCACACTTGCGCCGTTCATCCTTCTCTATTCCTATTTTTCTGAAGAAACTAAGGCACAGACCTGGTCAAGATTAGACGTGGGGGGAGCCTGCCTGGCCCTGAAGCCCAGGCTCTCTGCCTGCCCCCACCCTGCCTCTTACTCGGATTGGTCCCCAGCACTTCCTGGAATGCTCAAGGTTCTCACTCTAACTATTCTAATTCCACCCCGGAGACCTGTTTGCCCAGGTCCCCTTCTCCCCTCCATCAGCGCGACTCACTTTCCCTCCACCCCTCAGTTACCCCCCCGCCCCGGGCTTGGAAGATGTGGCACAAGGACTTCAGTGCTAAAGGCGATGATTGTTCACCTGGATCAGGGTCCGCTGACTTCTTCTGTAAAGGGTAAGATGGTAAATATTCTAGGCTTTGCAAGATAATACAATCTCCATCGCACTCGCTCAACTCTGGGATCGTAGCAGCAAAGCAGCCAATAGGTACACAAATGGGTAGAGCTGTGTGCCAATAAAACTTTATTGACAAACACAGGTGGCAAGCCATGTTTGGCCCCTAAGCTGCAGTTTCCACCCCCTGCCCTATGTGATCTCTAGGGTTTCTTCCTGCCCTGGTGTTCCGCGCCTTTTGTGGGGGAGAAAGTCCCAGACTAGAGATTGAATAATGGTAGTCTAAGGCCACATCCAGCCCACCGACAGGTTTTGTTCAGCCCAGAGTGGGGTTTCTTAATGATGTTTTAAAACGTATTCGAAAGCCGAGACCAGTATATTGAACCTGCGTGTCACACTCCCCAGCTTCAGTAACTGTCACCGTTATATCAGTCCCATCTCATCCATCCCCTGGCACACATCTTTCTGTTTCTGAAATATTTTAAAGCAAATCTAGACATCACATTATCTCACCCGTAAATACTTCAGTATGTCTCCCTAGCAGATAAAGACTTTTTAAAAACATAACCACAAAACCATTATCACCCTAACAAAATGAAGAATAATCCCTGATTAGCGTCTCGCATGTCGTGCATATTTAAATTTCCCTAATTGTCTCAAAAATGTCTTTTTACAGGTGGTTTGTTTGAATCGGGATCCAAATAAGGTCTACGCACTGTATTCACGCAGAGCTTTTAAATTTTTGAATTAGTTGTCAACATGTGAAAATCTGGATTTCGCATAAACATCGGGTTTTCAGCTTGTCATGGAAAAACCCTGGGAGATCTGGCAACTCTGCAGCCTCATTCCCCGGCTGCGGTAGCACTGGGAAGCCAGCACGTATTCTAGATGGTGGCTTGTATTCTCCCGCCCCCACTGTGCCCCCACATTGTCACCCCTCCAACGACCCCCAAAGGCATCGGACTGTGCCCTTCCTACTTTTGACGTTCCCACCTCCCCTCTGTCCTTGCTTATGGTCACTTGGGCCATTCTCTGGCCCACTTTCCCCTCCACCCACCTCTAGGCTGCCCTTTTATCATTCCTTTTCCTCCTTTAAGGTAGACTTTCGGAGTCTACCTGATGCCAGGAGGAATCGTGTAGTGCAGGTGGGCAGAGAGGAGAGGTTCACCCAGAGTGATCAGCCAGCCCTCCAGTCCCTCAGGGTGGCTGCCTACAGGGCCCCAGGAAAGCCCCCCAGTGCCCCAGCACCCTCCTCGCTGGTTCAGTGGGTGCCTGAAGCTCACAGAGCACAGAGCCCTCACTCCTTGTATAGAAAGAGAACACTCCTGCTTCGAATTTGCTGTGTGACCTTCTATAATCACTCTCCCTCTCTGGGCTCCAGATGCCCCTTCTATACAATGAGGGAGTTAGTTGGGGGCAGGGGGAGGGAAAGCTTGGGGAAGAGAATAGTCCAAGTTGAGTTCCCAGCTGGGCTATGAACAATCTGTAGCTAACAACCTTCTGATGCTGGTGATTCTAGTGGTCATTCATGCCCTCTTCCCCCTTCACCAGGATGGCCAAGGGGGAACAGAGAGGGGGAGAGGATCTGGTATAGACCAAGAGCAAAGCCAGGAGAGGTGCCCCCCCAAGGGCTGAGGAGGAGGAGGAAACAGCACACACCTCTCTTTCCCCCTCCACCTTCTTGGCCCACCCTTGTCTGACTGGGGCACACATCGGTTCCTGATTCTCTTCCCCCTGGGTACTGACGGGTCCTGTCTGGCCATGGCACATGCAGGACATCCACTAGGGCAGGAGGGGGACTAAGGCTGGATCCGAGCCTGTGTGGGTTGTCTGCATGGGACAAGGACCGGACGGTGGCGGTAGACTCCGAGTCTGAAAAGCAAGGCTCAGGCAGTGCCCACCCTGGGGCGTTCCGTCAGGCAGAGGAGTCCAGCTGCAGGGAAACCAGGTGGCAGTCCCAGCCCAGTGGGGGAGTCAAGCACATCAACACACAATTACAAGATAATGTGATAAGTGCTAGAATCAAAGCCTACCTCAGGCACCTTGGGAGCACAGAGGAAATGATCCATTTGTTCATCCAGTTATATGTGCCCACCACCTTATTCCAGAAAGAGTTTCAAGAGGCCAGCAAAGCCCAACAGAGAAAACGAAGTGAAAATGAAGTAAATGAGCAAAGGGATATGGTATAGGAAAAAAAAAAAACAAAAATAAAACCAAGGGCAAAGTTAATACCCATAATATCTGCCAAGAGTTCTTACGTTTTCTCTAGAACTGAGCCACAAATTTGCCTCTGAGCTTCCTAGCAGTCGGTGCAAAAGGAGAAACTCTCGGAGTTGTAAAACTCACAGCGTTCCTGAAAATAAAGCTTGGAAATATCCCCGGAGAAGCTCAAGCAATCCTGAAGCTGGAACCAAAGAGAGAATTTCTTCTCCAGGGAGTTCTAAAGAAGAGCCCCTAAAACTTGGGGAGGAGTATATGGGGACTCTCTGTACTATATTTGCAATTTCCTGTAACTCTGAAATTATTCCAAAAATAAATGCTTATGTAAAAAAGAAGACAGGTAGAACCCAATTGTTGCTCCAAGCGTTCCCTCCACAGTTGGAGGGGCTCAGACACAGATTGGTGTTATTCACATGTGTGACTCTAGGGGGCGCCATTTACACGGTCACGGCACCTGCACACAGTAGGTTCTCTAGCCGGAAAAGGCCAGCTGATAGAACTCTTGGGTGATCAAAATGGACACTTGGGGGCATCTAGAAAGGGCTGTCTATAATATATAAAGGATGTGGACCCTGAACTGAGGGAGTACCCAACCGGTAATCCCAGATGTTTACGGATATCTTAAACTACCTTGATAGGCATCAATAATTTGACATTTTTGTCTATGTTTGTTGGTTTCTGTAAATGTCGTGTCCTTGGGCAGCGACAAAGTCGCAGAACAGAATATACAGCAGGATTTGCAGAACCATGACAAAGTTTGGGCGAACCATTTTGAATAAGCAATTAGACTCCAACTTAGGCTCTTTTTTTCTTTTTCAAAACTATTAACTTTAAAGTGACACAACAATTTATTTTTGTTTTTTTTTTCAGTAAGAGGATAGCTGCTCATCACCAGAACATTACCCAGGACATCTGACCTTAATCCCACAGGGAAAACAAGACGACAGGCAAGGAATGGCAGGAACAGGAAAGATGTTTATGCTGAATTCTGAATTTTGTCACATACGGACGTTGTCACATATCTGCCTCCTTTGAGTCAGATTCAAAATCCCTAGTTGATCTCCAGACCAGTGCAACAAACCACAGCCTCAATCTGGGCCTGGGCCACACAAGAATCACAGGATTCTTAACTAAGAACATGATTCTTAGTATGAAAATATAATCATTTTGTAAAAATGCGATGGTGCACTGTTTAGCTATGCCTTTGTAGTAGGGATACATCTCCCAGAGATTTCCATGTCCGGCCACCCTCCCCCCTAGAAAAGACCCTGGGTAGTGGGGTGAGTGAGAAGTGGTCTCTGTCACAGCCACGCAGTAGATACAACAGCAAGCTTCCCAGGCTCTGCCTGCGGAGATCAAGGAAGCCTTCCCGGAGGAGGTGGCTTTGGGCTGAGCCAAGGATAAGCAGGAGGTTTCCAGTCCAGTAGGGGAGAAGGTGGGGGAAAAAGATGGACTTCCAGGCAGTTGGGAAGGCAGAAATACCTTCCATTTGCCCCTTTTGATCCACTGTCTCCCTGCTGCCGGATTCCCACCGGGTTTGGTGCAGGGGGTGCTGAAGATAGTGGTGGTTCCTCTAGCTCAGCCGGCACTGACCTCCTGCTCTAACTTCCAGTGGGGGGACGAGGGGAGGGCGTCCAAGATGGAGCTTACAGTGGACTTTGGTTGGGAAAGGTGGACATGGGGATTCCGGGACACAGACACTCCTGCCGTCTGTGTGGAAGAAGATGCTGGAAGCCTTTTCCAGGTGAGTTGTAAACAAAGAGCCCCAGCTAGCCTGCTCACCAAACCTCCTAGGCATGCCAGCCTGGAGCCAAAAATCCCACCACCCATCCTAACCCACCAGGAGGGTGGAGGTCAGAGGTGGACAGATGTCTACCCGGGGTCCGATCACAGGTCCGAACGGGTCATTTGTTGCATTTGGCATTTCCCCAGAAAGGGCTGGAAGGCTTATCCAACACAGGAGAGGCCAGAACAGGGCCAGGGACAAGGCCAGAGCCTGTGGTCTCCGAGCAGCTGCTCAGGAACGCTCACATCCTCCTAACCTTGGGCTGGTGGCATCTGTCCAGGCACTGTCAGGGACAGCGGGTCACAGAAAGATTCAAAGGCCAGGAGAGTGGTGCTCAGACTTTTGTGCACATCGGCACTCAGGGAGCTTGCTGATGACATGAACACCAGGACGGATCAGGGCATTTGTGTGGCTAGCACACTACCCGGGAGGCTCTGGGGGACACTAGAGTTTGAGTCCGTGGGCCAGGACATTCTGAAATGGGATTAAAGAGTGGACGTCTGTTCGGTGGGTGTTTGTTATTGCCATTCTACTATTAACATTGTTGAAGTATTGAATTGTATAGCAAGTATCTGTGACAGTCAAGTAACTGAATGATAATAAGTACCAATAATGATAATATCCTATGACTCGTACCTACTGTGTACCGGGTTCATTACATGCATTAAAACATATATCCCTTACTTGGGAGGCTGTAGTGGGAGGATTGCTTGAGCTCAGGAGTTTGATTTCAGCCTGGGCAATATAGTGAGACCCTGCCTCAAAAAAATATATATATATATGTATATATACATATATCTCCTTATATAAGTAAAATGCCATCTATGCAAATGATGGAATATTATTCAGCCGTAAAAATGCAGGAAATTCTAACACACGCTTCAACATGGATGAACCTTGGACACATTATGCTAAGTGAAATCAGCCAGTCATAAAAGCACAAACACTGTATGATTCTACTCATATGATCCCTAGAATAGTCAAATTCATAGCAACAGAAAGTAGAATGGTGGTTACCAAGGCAGGGGGAGGGGGGAGGGGAGTTGCTGTTTAACAGGGACAGAGTTTCAGTTTGGGAAGGTGAAAAAGTTCTGGAGCCGGACGGTGGCGATGACTGCACAAGAATGTGACCGTACTGAATGCCACTGACCTGCACACTTAAAAATGGCCAAGACAGTACATTTTATGTTGTGTATATTTTACTACAATTTTTAAAATTCTTTCAGTAAAGCTAGGCTAGGAAATGAACCGTGAACTTCAGAGTCAGGCAGGTCTGGGCATGAATCCCAGCTGTCTCGGTGATCTTTGGCAAGCACAACTCAACCTCTCTGAACTTCCACTTTCTCTTCTGTGACAAGAGGAGGGGCAAGAACGCACATGTCCTGGAGTGCATAGGATGACAGTCATTCTACGAACCTCACCTTAGGTAACTGTCCCCCAGCCACGTGAGGTGGTGGGGAATCGTTAGCCTCCTTTTGCTAAAGAGAAGGTTGAGCCTCAGAGAGGTTGTGTGATGTGTCTAAGGTCACACAGCCAGGAAGTGGAAGAGCCAGGGCTCAAGATATAAATATAACTGTGAGCATAAAACCGGGCTCTGTGTTCCACACGCCTTGATTCTACAGATGCCTACTGAATCACGTGCAGAATCTCACCTTGGATTGGAAGACTTGGAGGGCACAGACCCGAACGCCCGACGCAGGGACCGCTCTTCAGGTTCTGATGTAAAATGTATTGTTTTTGAGGCCATTACCTAGCATCTCTCGGTTTATGGGCCTCTTTTATATTTACAAGTCCTATGAATGTGCAATTGAAATAGACCAAAAAATGTGCCTCTAGAATCGCACGTGCTCAGAAACCAAAGCAGGATGCACTGGCGAAGGGAGAAGTCGTTCCAAAAGCTGAAGTCTAAATTATGGGACTCAAGTCGAAATCTCAGTTCTCAGAGTAAAGTTCAAAATACACGGAGAACCAGGCAAGACAGCAAGTATTGTTGCCAAGAGAAGGGGATGGGACTTCAGCAGGAGAAAAACAAACCCAGTGAAGTCCTGAGATGCTAAACAGCTGGAGTCTCCCTGCCACCTCCCTGCCAGGGGTACCACGTGGAGCCCCCCGATTCCAGGGGACCCCATTCACATGTACTGCCCGAAAATACTAATGGCACCCCGGTAGGCCATGCTGTGTGCCAGCCTTCTCTGCCTCTGCATCATGAGGATTTCTAAGATCAGACATGGCGAGGGGTCAAGGAGGATGGTGACCAAGGATGTGGGAAGTGTCCCAACTTTCTCAGCACTTGGAGCGCAGATTATAAAAGGTGGAAGGAACATAACCACCATGGATGAAGCACCCTCGCCATGCTAGGCCTTCACCTGTTTGGTCTCCTTTAAGCCTCAGCATCTCCCATTTTAATGACAAGAAGCCCAGAGAGGTTCAGTAACTCGGCCACAGTCACACAGCCGGGGTTGGTGGTGCCCCAAATGAAACCCAGAGCGGTGACTGCCCACCTACCCTGCTTTGTCCAGCTGCAGCTGAGAGGACACTGACCCAATCTGGACATGGATCCAGCCGGGCCAAACCAGGAGGAAAGAGCCACTGGGGGCTGCTGGGAAAAGGAGATTTAGCCTCTGAAAGGCAACATGCAGGCTTTGAGGCGAAACAGAGGGAGGCAGGGACCCAGTTCCTCCAAGCCCTGAGCACTGGGGGAACAGAGTTGAGCAGTGACTGTTGATTAGCATTGGCGAAAGCTAGCCGCTGCCCACTTTGCTGAGTCTCTCTCCTGCAGGTCTCGCTGAGGGACGGCCAGGCTGTCCCCTGGGTCCTGAACATCCTGAGATGGCTCTGCCGGGGCATCCGGGGGCTTGGGGGTATGGACTGCAAAGCTGTCCCAGGCACTTGGGTCCAGAGGGAGCCAGTGAGCTCAGCACTGGACAGGAAGGGAAAGGGACTGGATTCTAGTCCTTTCTTGGCCCCCCTTGCACCTGTCTTTGGGCATGTCACCTCCCTCCCCTCTCAGAGACCCAGTTTCTGCCCTCCATACAGGACAAGGAGGTTGACTTTGATGAAATGTCCAAGCTTTTTCTGTCTCAAATATCCTTCAGCCAGACGGGCCAGCATGGCCCCTCCTCCAGGGTGGCTTGGTCCGGGTGGCTCGGATGTGTCCCGTGTCCTCCCCACTTGCATGCTCTGGGGCTCAGGCCTC